GAACCTACATGGGATCCTGTCTAAATCTGCAACCTCATGAACATATTAAATAAAATCATAAAAATTCAAATAAAACCAACATATGAAGAAATTTAATGTTTAGACACAATATGGCATGTATGAATGATTATACCCTTTTGATCATGGAGATCAAATCAACCTTACCCTTACTGGAAAAGTAGTGACATGAATGCTTTTATGCCCTTTGGATCATGGAGATCAAGTCAGCCTTACCCTTACTGAAGAAGTAATAAGATGTTGGTTTGTAACTGAGATGGCTTGTTTGTAGTGAGAGAGGGGTTTGTAATAAGGATTTCAAGGTTTTAGGGTTCTTGAAAGAGTTTGATATTCTGACAGTGTTGTGGCAAGGTTTTTTCTCTCTTTTCCTCCTCCTCTTTTTTTCTTTTTCTCTTTTTTTCTCCTCTCTTTGTGTGAAAAGAAGGTGATTATATAATGGAAATTAGGGTAAAGAAAATGGGCTATGAATGTGCAATTGGGCCTCCAATATTCACTTGAATTCGTCACTTTCCAGGCTAAATCGCAGGGACTTAAGTGCATTTTTTGAAGTTGAAATGTGAAAACAAAATGTAGCCGACATCGAGAACTAACTCCTGTCCGAAAATCGACTCAATCGGATAAACGGTGAATTAGTTATGAATTTTTGAAGTTTCAGCTCAGACAAACTTATTTTGGGCTCCAGTGTCGACTCTGACACGTTCTTCAATAAAAAACTGGTATTGATCGGTGCATAATTTGGTCTCGACTTTTGAAGCAAAGTTGTAGATCTATGAGTCAATGACCTTGTGTAAAAATATGAGTCCAATCCGATAAAAATTGACCGAGTTATGAATTTTCGAAGTTTCAGCCCAGATGAAATAATATTCAGCATTCAGGATTTTCAGCGTGTCACGCACTCTGAGCAAAAAACGAAGGCCTTTTGAATACTGTTTGAACTCAATACCTTCTGTGAAAATGTAGCCAACTCAATTTGTGAAATTTTGGCACCGGAACCAGCTCGATACGATGAAAATCGACCAAGTTATGATTTTCTAAACATGACGCAAATAAACTTCTGTCACAAATTTTCTGTATGAAAATACTTGATAAATCCACATTTTTGAAAACCTTATGATCGAAATTGGCTTCCAGCCGTGAGAGATGAAAACGTAGATAATGTCAAGACAGAATTTTGGCCACCGGAACAGGTTCAAAATGAGCCACGATCTTCAAGTTATGAATTTTTTAGCGCGTAAAAACTGCACTTTCAGCACACTTTTTCACCATATTTCTTCAAGAAAACCCGCACATTCGGATACCTTCTTTAAAGAATTGACTCTTGAGCCGAACCTGAATTTGAGAATACGTTATCAGAGATATCTTGGCGAAAGAATACCTGAATATGACGCGCCGGGTTGGACTTGTGAATTTTTCTTGAAATGTTTTGAGAAATATGGGAGGGAAAATTTTGGGGTACAACACTTTGGACTTTGAGACCCATTGTTTTGTTTTTGTGTTAACCCTTGGACTGTAGTTATGTTTGGATGTTGCATTTTTAAGAACTTGAGGCAGGTTTGTTATACCCTTTGATTGGCTAGCTTCACAAGCCTTTCGAATCACAATTTGAGGGCCTAATATGCTTACAAGGTGTCAGCAAGGAGCCTATGGAAAAGCCAGAACCTTGTTGTTTCCAGACCTCAGACGAAATCCATAACCTTTCCGTTTCCATGCCTCAAAAAAAAGATAGAACCACTGACTCCAACCCCCAGTCGAAGGAGACAAAGGAAAATCGAAGGGCATGACTCCACTGACTCCAACCCCCAGTCGAAAAAGGCAGAAAGGCAGATTGCATCTTATACTGGTTCCAGGTCCAGTCGAAAGGCACAACATGCTATCCCAATGGTCCCAGTCGAAAGGCATAACATGCTGTCCCAATGGTCCCAGTCGAAAGGCACAACATGCTGTCCGAATGGTCCCAGTCGAAAGGCACAACATGCTATCCCAATGGTCCCAATCGAAATGCACAACATGCTGTCCCACCATGTCCAGTCGAAAGGCATTCCCTCACTGCTTTCAACCTCCAGTCGAAGAAGGCAACAGGGAAGAACCAGAAGGCTTCGCCATACACTGACTTCCAGGCCCCAGTCAAAGGATACAACTTGCTGCTGCCTTTGCCCAATCGAAGGACAGGACCTCGCCCCTGCCAAGGCCCAATCGAAAGACGTGACTTTGCTGTTGTCAACCTCAATCGAAGGAGGTCAACAGAATGCAAATCGAAGGCTGCTTCCCCCCAATCGAATGACACTCATTTTTCTTACTTTTATCTTATTTTTTCCTTCATATTTTTTTTGCCTTTCGATATGGTTGTAATAGCGTAGGATTTTATCTTTCTACATTTTATTTACTTTGTACAAATGCTAGTAAAATAGGGGATGTATGGAAAGATAAAAACAACAAAAATAGATAATCTTAATCAAAGACAAAAGCATGAAAATAATACACAATACACACTTGCACCCCTAGGGTTTCATCCACTTGTTGCCTTCAAAAAAATGGGCCATGGTTGCATGTTGAGTACTTTGGAAAAACAAAAACAAACAAAAAGATCATAGTCCCTCGATGACGCTATCTGAGTTGCCTAAACAAAATGATCATAGTCCCTCGATGACGCTATCTGAGTTGCCTAAACAAAATGATCAAGTCCCTCAAGAAAGTTGCCAAAAATACTTGACACTATTGCTTTCATGGTCTATACGATGACCCGCACCTGACCCGTTAACATCCTAACACAAGGTTGTTCACCAAATACAATGGTGAAACAAGACTGTTAAAAGGGTTAAAACATAAGAAAAATCTTTGAGTATAATAGGGTAGACCAACTCTTAGTTACTTGATCAAAAAACTTGCAAAAACATCCTTGCCATTTTTCAAAACACACTCCACAACACAACTTTCAAAAACATTGAAACATCTTTTCAAAAAGACAAACACCTTTGTAAAACATTCAAACAAGAATTGTTACAAAGGTTGCCTAGACAAGGCATCTTTTTCAAAACATTTTCAAAACCACACACACAAAGCACCATTTCAAACAATTGAAAAGAAAAAGGCAAGTGATCTAAACAAGTAACTAAGAGCCCATGGATAACCATGGATAGAAAGGGTGCTAATACCTCCCCTTTCTATAATCTACTCCCCGAACCCAAGAAAACATCTCAAAGGTCTTTCCTGTACTTTTTGACCTTTCCTTAGGATAAAATAAAAAGTCGGTGGCGCCTCTTGCTAAACCGAAACATTTGCGAACATAAACGCAAAACATAAGTCAGTTCTCCCACCGTATCACATTACTCAAAGTCAATACAAATATATCTTCTTGAAAGTGCAAAAACTATCTGTTTTTTTTGTTACACTTGTGTTTTGTTTACAAAAACGTCTAATGATTCATTGTTGAACATATGCATTTGAACATAATTACTGTTTACAAATAAATAAAATAAAAGACAATTACTAATGGCTTTAAGAGGTAGGGAAATCTCTCTAAGCTATTTCCATAAATCCCCCATAATTTGCAGTTTAATTCCCAGCGAAACGAGCTTCCAATTATCAATCCCCAATAGAAGTCATTCATTTTCTCGGGATTTCACAACAGGATTTTACAAGAAGTATATGGCATTTCCTTTACAATAGAGTTTATTTCTCTAAGCAGAAATTCATCAACACTTAGACTTCACAACATGAAGACTTATACTCCATATCCTCAACAGCAGTCAGGGATTTATTTTCCCCAATCCAACAACAATGCAGCAAACTAGCTCACATACGCATACATTGCATCCATATATCATAAACATTGATAACGCGAATGCATTATACTATGCATTTCATACAACATAAACATTGCATATTAGCTAACATTTTATCTTTTTCAGGATAAGATTAATCAAACAACTACCATTAACAATATTCAAATTCTTCAGATATAGTTCAGATACGCTCCAGACACGGATGCCATTCTGATACCCATTCAAAATCTCAACTCTCAGATACAGTTCAGATACGCTCTAGACACGAATTCCATCCTGATACTCATTCAGATTCAACCTTTTGATACAGTCACTACGCCAAAAATAAGTTTTAGCAGCACATAAAAGAAAGCGCTTTTGGAAAAAAGCGCTGCTGTAGGTTTTAAAAAAAAATCGCTTAAAAAAGCGCTTTTCAAAAGCGCTTCTAAAGGTCACCCTTAGAAAGCGCTTTTTGGGAAGCGCTGCTAAAGCTGGCCTTTCAGAGGGTACCTTAAGAATGCGCTTTTCAAAAGCATTGTTAAAGGTCAGCCTTAGAAAGCGCTTTTCCAAAGCTCTTCTAAAGCTGGCCTTTAGAAAGCGCTTTTAAAAGCACTGCTATAGGATATGCTAAGAAAGCGCTTTTTGATGTAAAAGCGTCGTTATAGATGACCTTTAGAAAGCGCTTTTAAAAGCACTTTCATAGGTAGTTTTATAATAAATATCAAAACACAATTCGTATCACTTTTCTATTCTCAGTCAGATTTTCTTCACGAAAAAACCCTAAACCAAAGCTTCTACGGCGGTCAACGGCGCTCCACTTCTCCGGCCAACTGCAATTCGTATCAGGTTTCATTTTTTCCTCATCTCATATGTGTTTGTCTGGTTTTCGTGTGCTTTTTGTTTGGTTAACAATTTCATGTCATCCAATCCACACGTTAAGTATATACAACTTAATATAATTTGACTAAAGTGAACGTTTATCCAATCCTTCACCACAAAAAGCGTCATCAGGAGACGTGGGACGCTTTTTATTATAATCAATTCAAAAAAGCAAGTGGCCATTTGTTCTAAGAAATGATGATGAACGTGTTTGGCGAGATCATTAAATGACAATGTTAGCAGAGTCTCATTTTTTATCATTCTTTACATTTCAAGATAATCTATTTATTCATCTATCCAATTCCCATCTCTATTCATATCAACCCTCAAAAAAATCGATCTATGATTACTTATGAATCTTCGAACAACATGCAGCTACAACTGCAAGGTACTTATTTTGGTTTACGCATTTACACAAACACGTTGTCATCAGTTTATATTTTGTTAACTTTTGTGATTTGATTCTCAGATGGTACTGCTAGTAGTGTTAATGTGATGAGAAACCTCACACATGTCATGGCATCCTCCATCGCCGGATTAATCGGTGATAATTCAGTGATGGTTAACCAGCAGAAGATTGTTCCTTACTTACATCAAACGGAGTCAGGCCGTGTTGCCAAGCTTGAGATTTTCTCTCACTATGTTGGTAACTTCTTTATCACTTTACTTTTACTTCTCCAGTTTTGTTTGGGCGTGAATTTGATGATGAATTTGTGTTATTATCGAATTGATTATGGCTACTTGTACATTTGTCTATGCAGCTAGGCAAATGGGATTTGTAGATGTCGGCAAGGTTCCAGAGTTGTGCAGATTGGCACAGGACTACTTGAGAAACACGGAAGGGTGTAAAGAAAATATATATCAATATCTAGCCAATGGGGACAACGCTAATGCACTATATGCAAAATTGATTGAAGAATTTGAAAGATGCATCCTCAGTTATTTTTCTTTTCATTGGAACCGAGCTTCATTTATCATTACCCATGTACATAATTCTTTAATAAAAAAAACCAATTACACATGTTTTCAGTCATATCTCACTATACTTTTGGTAAAAAAAAATTTCACCTCACTATTATAATAATTTGTTATGACGATTTCTAAAATATCTCTACAGATATTTATGAGATGGTGATATTTAATTAGATGTAAGTGTAACTTCTTAATTAAGAAAGAATTTTATAGTTTGGGAAATATATTAACTATTAAGTTGATACATGCTTTTGTTTATTTGACATAGATAATTGTATGTTAATATATTGATGTTTTAATCGTCTTAATCACAGGTATTAAGTTCTCAGTCCCAACCCAAAATAAATCTCAAAAATATTCTTTTGGAAGCCACAAGGTAAATTTATATCTAATTTTGAGTTTAATTTTGGTGCAATGTTTTTTTTAATAGCAAACAGAGCCTAAGACCGAATTTTAATGTAATGTTAGTGTGTGAATATTTTTACACGGAAAATCAATTATAGTAAGCCATATCCGGGATTTTTTAAGTAATTATAATCCATGGCAAACAAAGTTTTATCTATTGATTATTAGACTAATAGTGTAAATTTCTGTTACACGTGCATACCAATTAATAATCCACTCACAATTTTGCTTTAAAATAACCTTTCAAAAATATGGACTAATTTAAATGTCTTATGCTATGTTTATAGGGAACATAGGTTTAAGAGAATAACAAAGAAACTAAGGTGGCCAGAGTGTTCTCTACATTGGTTGAAGAGATTAAAGCAATAAAGGGCGACTCACAAAGTTGTGATGACAAGGTCTCCATTGTCCAGAGTGAGAGGAGTCCAGTGTTGCTGCTTATGGGTGGAGGCATGGGATCTGGAAAAAGCACTGTTCTTAAAGACATTCTTAGATAGTAAGTATCACCTTAACTCTACTTCTTCCATATATTAATTAGATCATTGTTCAATTCCAATTGTTGCAAATGTTATGAACCATGTGTATCCAAAATAAAAAGAAAAAAAAATGATCTTATGAGTTATGACATGTGTTAAATTTTGTCACCCTTCACCTTTTTCCTTATTTTGCCCCTAATTAAATGGTTTTGGCAGATCATTTTGGTCAGAAGCTGCATCCAATGTTGTGGTTGTTGAAGCAGATGCTTTTAAGGAGAGTGATGTCATTTATAGAGCTCTTAACTCTAAGGGCCACCATGATGAAATGCTTCAAAGTGCTGAACTGGTATGCTTCTATTGTCTGAAACTTTCATGTTACTATTTTCAGAGTATTTCCGAATTAGCTTGTCATCAAAATCTAAACAGGTGCATCAGACTTCGACTGATGCTGCATCATCTCTACTAGTGACAGCTTTAAATAAAGGGCGAGATGTGATCATGGATAATACCTTAGCATGGGAACCTTTCCTAGAGAAAACTATTGCTATGGCAAGAAATGTTCACAAAAAGCGTTGTCTAAGGTAAACATATGACATCGCTTTTCTAGGAAAAAGCGCTGCTAAAAGACCACCTATGAAAGCGCTTTTCCAGAAAAAAGCGTTGCTAAAAGCCTACCTAAGACAGCGCTTTTCCAGAAAAAAGCGCTGCTAAAAGAAAACTTATGAGAGCGCTTTTCCAGAAAAAAGCGTTGCCTTAGGTAGACCTATGAAAGCGCTACTTCATAAATAAGCGCTGCCAAAAGCCTACTTAAGAGAGCACTTTTTAGAAAAAGTGTTGTATTAGGTAGATCTACGAAAGCGCTTTTCATTAAACAAAAAGCACTGCTAAAACCTATAGCAGCGCCACCTATGAAAGCGCTTTTAAAGGCCAAAAAAAGCGCTTTCATAAGTCTTTTTTGGTGTAGTGAGTTCAGATACGCTCCAGACGCGGATGCCATTCTGATACTCATTCAAAATTCAACTCTCAGATACAGTTCAGATACGCTCCAGACACGGATGCCATTATGAAACTCATTCAAAACTAGCTTTCAGATATAGTTCAGATACGCTCTAGACATGAATGCCATTCTGAAAATCATTCAAAATCAACTCCCAGATACAGTTTAGATACGCTCCAGATACATACGCCATTCTGATACTCATTCTTTCAGCTTACGAATTACAATACCAAAAATCACTCTTGGATGGAATCTACAAGCCCATCTCCAAAAACTTTCTATCACCTTTCCAAATGGCATTTTTAAGCCCATTCCCTCAACCATCACATCACCGAGTGCGAATTTCTGGGCACTCTAGTGCCCAATTATCTTCTACCTTCGAGTCACGACTGACAAAACATGCCAATCTAACTCTTCTGGCTTAAGAAGATTGAATAGGGTCAGCTGTTGTACCCCAAAATTTTCCCTCTTACTTATCAAGAATTTTCTCACAAGATCTCCTTGGGCTCAAGACTGCACTAGGGTTTGATCAGCTCAAGACACCTCCTTAGGCACTGATGACCAAAATTAGGGTTTGGCTTTGCACAAGGATTTTTGAACTATCAATGCTTCACATTACTTTCATGGACCATTATGGACCCCCAAGATTACTCATGTCAAGTTTCAAGCCTTGGATCACATTTTTGCTCAGTCAATTGAGCAGTTGACCTAAAAATCAGTTGTATTGGGGAAAAAGCCAACCATGGCCAATTTACAGTCAAACTTCTTAATTTTTAATCCACATCAACATTTTTAATCCATATGTATCATTTGATCAAGTTTGGACCATAATTCCTCAAGAAATTTGATCGAATCTCCAAAAGGGCAAAATGGTCAAAATTAGGGTTTTGACTTGGAAAGGGCAATTTCTGATTTTTGACCTAGAAAATGGTCAATTGGTTTAAGGCATGCTCTCAAGAGTCCAATTGCATCATTTTTACCTAATGACATGATTCAAAACATTGCAAATCCATTAGATTGATCGATGAATTTTGTAGTCAACTAATCAAAAGTCAACTGTATACTAAAAAGTCAAACTTTGCATTTTTGGTCAAATTTAAGCACCAAAGATCACAATTCATCAAAACATGTCAAAATAGGAAACTTATTCATCAAGAAATCAAGAAATCAAGATTTCATTTTGAAAAGTCAAAATTTTTAAACTTAGAAATTTTTCAAAGTGTCAAAAATTTCTTATTTTTTCATAACTTTGAGAATTTTTTTTTTATGATGCAAGATGATTTAGAGGAAACTTCCAACATGAAAGTTGTATATCTTCATGAAATATACAACTTTGCTTCACACAACTTCTCCTAAAAGTGCCTGGATATCAAGTTATAATTTTATGAATACATGCTCATGAACTAAAAAAGACTTGGTGAAATTTTGCCCTAGTTCGGCATATTTTTTACCTAACTTCATGGAAATTTTTCACATAGTTCCAAGTGGAATATTCAAAAGCAATTCAAATATGAGTTGTAGAGAACATTGCAAGATTTCCAAAATGTCCAAGAACTCCTTGATATCATTCTTGAGTAGGGAGAATCGAAGAGATGAAGTTGGTGTTTTGTCACTTGAATTATAGGTCATTTTCATGATGAACACAAATGCAATTTCAATGTTAGGCTGCATAATCTTTTCTTTGCAGGCCTCAAACTTGTTTGTCACTCCATAATTAATGTATTACACAAAATTTTGAACTATAATCCAAGTGGTTTAAGCTTTATCCAATTCACATTGCCATTTTGGGAAGAAAGTTAACAATACCATTCTTGTAAAGCAAGCTTTTTGCATAAAGTTCACATTGAGCCTCTAACTTGTTCCCTATGATCACACTCCATCCACAAAGTCAGAAGTAAGCTTGTTTAAAGCATAAGCACTCTATCTTAGCAAGTACACAAGACTTTGAAACTTGTTTTGTCAAAAAATCATATGTTTAACTTAAGGATGCAAATTTGAATTCTGATCAACTAGAGCATCCCAAACTTGTTGCTTATAAATAAAGTCACTATTTATGAGCTAGGACACGAGCTTGAAGACCCTAAAACTCACTCAAATTCCCTCTAGCCAGAAATTGTCTCAAAACACCATTGTTGTGCAAGTTCCGACTTTACATACCAAACTCCAAATCCCCTCGTGCGTCCTTTGGCCTTTCACTTCCAAAAGCTTCTAAACATCAAATACAAACCATCCAAAGTCCATTTGCTCAATTGTAACACCTCCATCATCAAGTTCCATTTTCAAAAACAGGGGTCTGCAACTTGACTTCTCCAGAGCTCCTCAGCCACTTTCAGCTCAAGCTAATCATTTCATTAGCTTCCTGGGACCTCAAGGAAGCTAACCTGATCCTTGCAGCACTTTGAATCAAGCTCATTTGTATTTCATGATTTCTAGTTTTTAGGTATTTTTCTTAAACTTCTATCTCATTACTTAGGCATTGTTAGGCTTGCATTTGTGAAGATAAAATGTAGACCTCATTGCCACGAAGCTATACATATCCATAGTTTGCATTTACATGGCCTGAGCTTAGAGAATTTTAGAGTTGAAGTTTATGTAATTTTCAGGGTACAAATTAGGGCCAGAGAAATTCTCATTTATCTTTGACTTTTAGCTTTAGTTATTTACATGGTTATATTCGTAAGAAAGAATGCAACAACTTTCATTTTGTCATCTTCCATTTTTGTTGAGAAATGAAAGAGTTACAGGTACACCAGCTGGAGGTTGAAGATGAAGTCATCAGGACTTGATTTGCCTTATATATTTATTGTTTTGTTTATATGAACGGATGTATAGCCACCCCAGTGGTAAAGCGCACGCCTGTTAACCTATGGGACATGGGTTCGAGCCCCAGTGGTACCCTTTTTATTTTTCATATTTTTTCACTTTTCTGTTTGTTTTGTTTTTGCAGGCGCTGGGCCCTTTGGGCCTGACTTGTTTTTTTATTTATTTTTACTAACTAACTCCAGGCCTTGCTTCAGCACCCCCTGGCTCTTTGTTTTTATTATTTCATTTTTTTTAATTTTTATTTCATTTCATATTTTATTTATTATTATTATTATTTATTTCATTATTATTATTATTCTTTAAAAAAATCCCAAAAATAATTTATTTATTATTTAGGCAATAATATATTCATTTTATTTTCTTCATAAAAACAAAGATAAAAACATTTTTTTTAACAATTAATTTCTTTTCTTAATTAAATAATATTTAGATAATTAGGTTTAATTACTATATTATCATCTTGTAAATTAAAATTAATTTAGAACTTAGGTTTATTTTAATTAGTTTTATATTATTTTTCATTTAAAACCCTTTCTCAAAAAACCCTAAAAATCTATTCTTAATTAATTTCTTTTCTTAATTAGTTAAAGTTAATTTAATTTTGATTAATTATTTTTCTCTAATTAGGTTTAGGTTAAAACCCCTTTCATAAAAAAAATACAAACAAAAATCATGTTTCTTTCCATTTGCATTTGTACTTTATATTTATTCATTTCCTTGTACATTGATATCAATTTAATATGGTTGTAATAGATTAATTAGGCTTACATTCTTACAATCCCCATTTGTAATTTGTACACCTCCCTCCCAAATGTTGTAATAGCGTAATAACTTTAAAATTCCGCAATTTATCGCTTTCATATATACATGTTAGTAAATTAGGGTTTGTATGGAAAGACTAAAACCAACAAATAGAAAACCCTAATTAAGACAAATCAAAGCATGTAAATCAAACACATTTACGCACATACACCCTTAGGGTAAACCCACTTTGTTTCCTTATACAAAATAACCATATTACGCATGTAAGGTATCTTAGCAAAAACAAGCAAATACAAGATCATAGTCCCTCGATGATGCTATCTAAGTTGCCTTGCAAATGATCTTAGTCCCTAAAAAATAATGTTAAGATACCTTGCAACATTGCTAATCATGGTTATACGATGACCCACACCCGTCCCGTTTACATCCAAAGATAGGTTTGCTTACCAAATCAATGGTAAGACAACAATGTCAAAGGAAAGGAAAATGAACAACAAAGACTTTTAAGTAGGTAGAATGCTCCTAATTACTTGCTCAATTTCAAACAAATATCCATGCTATTTTTAAAACAAGCACCTAAACTTTCAAAACATCTTACAAACTTGAAAACAATTTCAAAAGATCAAACATCTTTGTATACATTCTTACAAACAAGAATCATTACAAAGATTGCCTAAACAATGGTCTCTTTACAAAACCACACAAAGAACAATTTCAAAGAAAATCAAGTGATCTAGCATGTAACTAAGAGCCCATGGAAAACCATGGATGAAAAGGGTGCTAATACCTTCCCTTTTCATAATCTACCCCCCGATCTCGAGAAATAATCTCAAAGGTCTTTCCTGTGCTTTTTCACCTTTACTTTTGGATAAAAGAAAAGTCGATGGCGACTCTTGCTAACCGTAACATTTGAGATCAAATGCAAAACCCTCAAGTCCGTTCTCCCACCGTATCACAGTGTGCCTTTAGAGATTTCAGGAGTAGAAGGAGTAGCAACGACAAC